GATGGTTGAGGAGAGATAGCTGTTTGAGAAGAGAGATAGATGTTTGAGGGGAGAAAGCTGTCTGAGGAGAGATAGCTGTTTGAGGAGATATAGATGTTTGAGGAGAGATAAATGTTTGAGGAGAGAAAACTGTTTGAGGGGAGATAGATGTTTGAGGGGAGATAGATGTTTGAGGAGAGATAGCTGTTTGAGGAGAGATAGATGTTTGAGGAGAGATAGCTGTTTGAGGAGAAATGAATGTTTGCATGAGTAGAGAAAGATGTTTGAGAAGTTATAGATGTTTGAGGAGAGAGAGCTGTTTGAGGAGAGAAAGCTGTTTGAGGAGAAATAGATGTTCGAGGGGAGATAGATGTTTGAGGGGAGATGACTGTTTGAGGAGAAATAGATGTTTGAGGAGAAATAATTGTTTGAGGAGAGAAAGATGTTTGAGGAGAGATAGCTCTTTGAAGAGTTATAGATGTCTGAGGAGAGATAGCTGTTTGAGGAGAGATAGCTGTTTGAGGAGTGGTAGATGTCTGAGGAGAGAGATAGATGTTTGAGGAGATACAGATGTTTGAGGAGAGATAGATGTTTGAGGAGAGATAGCGTTTTGAGGGGAGAAAGATGTTTGAGGAGAGATAGATGTTTGAGGGGAGAAAGATGTTTGAGGAGAGACAGATGTTTGAGGAGAGATAGATGTTTGAGGAGATATAGATGTTTGAGGAGAGATAGCTGTTTGAGGAGAGATAGCTGTTTGAGGAGTGGTAGATGTCTGAGGAGAGAGATAGATGTTTGAGGAGATACAGATGTTTGAGGAGAGATAGATGTTTGAGGAGAGATAGCGTTTTGAGGGGAGAAAGATGTTTGAGGAGAGAAAGATGTTTGAGGGGAGAAAGATGTTTGAGGAGAGACAGATGTTTGAGGAGAGATAGATGTTTGAGGAGTGGTAGATGTCTGAGGGGAGAAAGATGTTTGAGGAGAGATAGATTTTTGAGGAGAGATAGCTGTTTGAGGAGTGGTAGATGTCTGAGGAGAGATAGCTGTTTGAGGAGAGATAGATATGTGAGGAGATATAGATGTGTGAGGAGAGAAAGCTGTTTGAGGAGAGAGATAGATGTTTGAGGGGAAAAAGATGTTTGACAAGAGATAGCTGTTTGAGAGTTATAGATGTCTGAGGAGAGAGAGAGAGAGCTGTTTAAGGAGAGATAGATGTTTGAGGAGAGATAGCTATATGAGGGGAGAAAGATGTTTGAGGAAAGATAGATGTTTGAGGAGAGATAGCTGATTGAGGAGAGATAAATGTTTGAGGAGAGAAAACTGTTTGAGGAGAGATAGCTGTTTGAGGAGAAATAGATGTTTGAGGGGAGATAGCTGTTTGAAGAGAGATAGATGTTTGAGGAGAGATAGCTGTTTGAGGAGATATAGATGTTTGAGGAGAGATAGATGGTTGAGGAGAAATAGCTGTTTGAGAAGAGAGAGAGATGTTTGAGGGGAGAAAGATGTTTGAGAAGAGATAGCTGTTTGAGGAGTTATAGATGTTTGAGGAGAGATAGAGGGTTGAGAAGAGATTGCTGTTTGAGGATAGAAATATGTTTGAGGAGAGATAGCTGTTTCAGGGGAGAAAGATGTTTGAGGGGAGAAAAATGTTTGAGGAGAGATAGATGTTTGAGGGGAGAAAGATGTTTGAGGGGAGAAAGATGTTTGAGGAGAGATAGCTGTTTGAGGAGGAGAGAAAGCTGTTTGAGGAGAAATAGATGTTTGAGGAGTGATAGATGTCCGAGGAGAGATAGCTGTTTGAGGAGATATAGATGTTTGAGGAGAGATAGATGTATGAGGAGAGAAAGCTGTTTGAGAAGAGAGATAGATGTTTAAGGGGAAAAAGATGTTTGAGGAGAGAAAGCTGTTTGAGGAGTTATAGATGTCTGAGGAGAGAGAGCTGTTTAAAAGAAGATAGCTGTTAGATGGGAGATATCTTTTGAGGGGAAATAGCTGTTAGAGAGGGAATAGTAGTTTGAGGGGAGATAGCTGTTAGAGAGGGAATAGTTGTTTGAGGGGAGATAGCTGTCAGAGAGGAAATAGTTGTTTGAGGGGAGATAGCTGTTAGAGGAAATAGTTGTTTGAGGGGAGATAGTTGTCAGAGAGGAAAGAGTTGTTTGAGGGGAGACAGCTGTTAGAGAGGAAATATGTGTTTGAGGAGAAATAGTTGTTTGAGGGGGGAGTTATAGATGTCTGAGGATAGATAGCTGTTTGAGGAGAGAAAGATGTTTGAGGGGAGAAATATGTTTGAGGAGAGATAAATGTTTGAGGAGAGATAAATGTTTGAGGAGAGATAAATGGTTGAGGAGAGAAAACTGTTTGAGGAGAGATAGAGGTTTGAGGAGAGATAGAGGTTTGAGGAGAGATAGATGTTGGAGGAGAGATAGCTGTTTCAGGGGAGAAAGATGTTTGAGAAGAGAAAGCTGTTTGAGGAGATATAGATTTTGGAGGAGAGATACATGTATGAGGAGAGAGAGCTGTTTAAAAGAAGATAGCTGTTAGATGGGAGATATCTTTTGAGGGGAAATAGTTGTTAGAGAGGGAATAGTAGTTTGAGGGGAGACAGCTGTTAGAGAGCAAATAGTTGTTTGAGGGGGGAGTTATAGATGTCTGAGGATAGATAGCTGTTTGAGGAGTGGTAGATGTTTGAGGGGAGATGGCTGTTTGAGGAGAAATAGATGTTTGAGGAGTGATAGATGTCCGAGGAGAGATAGCTGTTTCAGGGGAGAAAGATGTTTGAGAAGAGAAAGCTGTTTGAGGAGAGATAGAGGTTTGAGGAGAGATAGAGGTTTGAGGAGAGATAGATGTTGGAGGAGAGATAGCTGTTTCAGGGGAGAAAGATGTTTGAGAAGAGATAGATGTTTGAGGAGATACAGATGTTTGAGGAGAGATAGAGGTTTGAGGAGAGATAGATGTTCGAGGGGAGATAGATGTTTGAGGGGAGAAAAATGTTTGAGGAGAGAAAAATGTTTGAGAAGAGATAGCTGTTTGAGGAGTGGTAGATGTTTGAGGGGAGATGGCTGTTTGAGGAGAGATAGAGGTTTGAGGAGAGATAGAGGTTTGAGGAGAGATAGAGGTTTGAGGAGAGATAGAGGTTTGAGGAGAGATAGATGTTCGAGGGGAGATAGATGTTTGAGGAGGGATAGATGTTTGAGGAGAGATAAATGTTTGAGGAGAGAAAACTGTTTGAGGAGTTATAGATGTCTGAGGATAGATAGCTGTTTGAGGAGAAATGGATGTTTGCATGAGTAGAGAAAGATGTTTGAGGAGAAATAGATGTTTGGGGGAGAAAGATGTTTGAGGAGAAATAGTTGTTTGAGGAGAGATAGAGGTTTGAGGAGAGATAGATGTTCGAGGGGAGATAGATGTTTGAGGAGTGGTAGATGTTTGAGGAGAGATAGAGGTTTGAGGAGAGATAGAGGTTTGAGGAGAGATAGAGGTTTGAGGAGAGATAGATGTTGGAGGAGAGATAGCTGTTTGAAGAGTTATAGATGTCTGAGGATAGATAGCTGTTTGAGGAGGAGAGAAAGCTGTTTAAGGAGAAAAAGCTGTTATAGGAGTTATATATGTTTCAGTGGAGATAGATCTTTGAGGGTAGATTGATGTTTGAGGGGAGAAAAATGTTTGAGGAGAGATAAATGGTTGAGGAGAGAAAACTGTTTGAGGAGAGATAGATGTTTGAGGGGAGAAAGATGTTTGAGAAGTAATAGATGTTTGGGAGGAGAAACCTGTTTAAAAGAAGATAGCTGTTAGATGGGAGATATCTTTTGAGGGGAAATAGTTGTTAGAGAGGGAATAGTTGTTTGAGGGGAGATAGCTGTTAGAGAGGGAATAGTTGTTTGAGGGGAGATAGCTGTTAGAGAGGGAATAGTTGTTTGAGGGGAGACAGCTGTTAGAGAGGAAAAAGTAGTTTGAGGGGAGACAGCTGTTAGGGAGGAAATAGTTGTTTGAGGGGAAATAGCTGTCAGAGAGAAAATAGTTGTTTGAGGGGAGACAGCTGTTAGAGAGGGAATAGTTGTTTGAGGGGAGATAGCTGTTAGAGAGGGAATAGTTGTTTGAGGGGAGATAGCTGTTAGAGAGTGAATAGTTGTTTGAGGGGAGACAGCTGTTAGAGAGGAAATAGTAGTTTGAGGGGAGACAGCTGTTAGAGGAAATAGTTGTTTGAGGGAAGATAGCTGTCAGAGAGGAAACAGTTGTTTGAGGGGAGATAGATGTTAGAGAGGAAATGGTTGTTTGAGGGGAGATAGCTGTTAGAGAGGAAATAGTAGTTTGAGGGGAGACAGCTGTTAGAGAGGAAATAGTTGTTTGAGGGAAGATAGCTGTCAGAGAGGAAACAGTTGGTTGAGGGGAGATAGATGTTAGAGAGAAAATAGGTGCTTGAGGGGCAGTATGCATTTGATAGTTTTAGCACACCTGGCCCCATTGGCCAAGTAAGCTAATGCCATTTATTACTCAACTTCTTTTGAGTAACCAAAAATGATATTTGGCTTGCAGCATGGTGGCTGGAGCTATCATGTTTGTTAAACAACTTACCTTGACCCACTTTCAAGGTTACAGTGATAAAATGTGTCAAAACCTTAAAACAACTTCTTCTGAATAACCAAGATGTCTAGGGTGATGATATTTGGTCAATTGCATGTGTAGATAATAAAGGAATATCAAGTTTGTTCAAATCAATGACCTTGACCCAATTTTTCGTAAAATCAAACACATCAAGGTCAAAATATTTTAAAATCTGCAAATTATTTCTGACATCAATGAAGCCAGAGTAATGATATTTAGCCTGTAGTTTGCTTGGATGAAGGATGTCTAGTTTAAAAAAAAAATAAGCATAAATAAGCAAGAATGCTTAAAAATACTGAAAGTTGGGAACCATCTGTGCAGATTAAATATGCAAAAATGACACATGCAAATCTTTCAACTTCTACAGTACCTAAAACAAGTGATGTGAAAATAAAATGAAATAAAAATAATAACTACTCAAAAACAAGTGGAATGTTTTATTCGTTAAAACAAGAAGTGTGTACAGATGTACATATATAAAAAGTAAACAATGACATATATATATATCATGTAAATGTGATGTACGGAAACAAATTACAATATACGACTTGTATTGATTTGTAAATCATACACATGTGGACTGCCTATAGCAGCCAGGTGACTATACCTGTGTCAGGTATACATCGTTATCCAGGTAATACTCTTAATGAGGACGGATGAAACATGTTACCCAGGTACATCTGTAACATATCATCAACTAGGACGGAAAAGAAAATCTAGAAATCTCTCTAGTCTCATTCTGAGGTGCACACAGGCTTATTAAAATTGACAATTCCTTTTTCTCGGTCTGCAATCCTAGCCTAGAAAATATTTAGACCAAATGAACCCGACAAATTTTACAGGTTGACTTGAGATTTATAAGAAAATGACTTTGATAAAATATAAAAAAATAAATTTACTAAAAGTGGACACATGTACATGTATATATAGACAATCAAAAGACAGTAATTAGCAATGCATTTTTAACGAACCATTTATCACATTAAATATTTAACTTTAACAACCATTCATGATATGGGTACCTTTTGTATGTGTAGAAAATACAAGTACACCTGGTCAATGGCCTGTGTATAAAAATTAAGTATTGTGAAACTTAATGGAATGTGTTGTGGTGACATCAGACATACTGTAAAATCAGATATTTTTGAGGGGCCAAAATTTCACGGTTTCCGGACAAAATACCATTTTGTGGGTACATAAATTTGTGGATAACAACTACCCATTCAAACTCAAAACTGTTTTATATCAAACTTCTAATTACTTTGTGAACCAATGACTTAAGAAATTTAAAATCCCCACAAAAATTAGAGATTTCACAGTACATAAAAGACATGTTAACGGAATACATGTAATCAATAAAGGAATGTCAATATCTGGTGACATTTGAACAGACAGTTGAACACCACTATTTTTGTGAAAAATATAACTATTCAGTGAGCCATGCAGTTTTGAAATGGTTACTATCTAAAAATCGCAACACAAGAGTAAATATGACCAGGTGGTAATATAGAGTGACTGGTAGCTTGGACAGGTGCAGAGTCAAAGTCTGGTATCACCTCCGTCCCCTACCCCTCAGCATTACACTATGACAAAAAGCTCACTTCCTGCCTCCCACTCTTTTAATTTGTACGAACCATTAGACATACATGTGTCATTGGACTTTTTATTTTCATGTTTTTTTGTTTTTTTGATGGAGATCATTTGGATTTCGAAACATTATATAACATGGTTTTATACGTTAACATGCCACATGGATACATCAGTATTATAATGGTCACCTATGGGCCATTTCTGTATATCCTATAACTTATGTTACGCGTCGTTATGCCCTTGTAAAACAAGTCATGTACAAAAAAAGGGTAAAAGGTAAGTGGTATTTTATATTTAATGTTTCAAAACGTAGAGTTCAAAACGTAGAGACTTTCAGCTTATCTTATAGATTTATTTATACGTAGCCAGGCTTTGAACAGACAGTGGCGCAGTGACAGGATATTAATGTGAAAGAGTCTTATGGTGATCAGTATGCCTTGCCCACCATCATATGTTTAGAAGAAGTGATGGGGCCAAGGGGAATTCCTGGAGATCTGATGTCCGGGCGAGATTTTTCCTGTAGCACAGCATTCTGGGTATATGCTGGAGCTTTACTGAGCAATTGGTCAGCATAGAAAAGAGCCTGTAACAAAAGGGTACAAAAAGGTCAGAAAGTTAGTACAACCAGAAAACATGGCCATTAATTACTGTGAAATCACTCATTTTCATGGCTTTTTTAATTACATGAATTTTGCGGGTAATCTTCATTCGCAAATTCAAAGGTCCAGGAATTAATTACAAGTTTGATGTAAAGCAATTCTCTGCTTGAGTGGGTACTTATAAATCAGGAATTCATGTACCAACGAAATAGTGTCTTGTCGAGAAACCACGAAATTTGAGCCCCACAAAAATATCTGATTTCACAGGAATTAATTAAAGCAGCAAACAGAAGTAAATTGATAAAGCACTGTTGCAAGAATCATCAACTTGAACATGTGTTCCAACTTACACCTATATTCCTAATTCAGTAGTATGTAAATGGCTAATGAAAGTTCAACGTTGTTCTTGTATGAGGTTCATAAGACAATGTAGTTTTTTTATACCCAACATAACTATAAGTACATTTTAAATCAAAGTAACAAGCAGTAATAATTGAAAAAAAATATAAACCTTTTTCACATTTGCACTAACATGTGATGTTTTTGGCAGACAAACTGTATTATTGATATAGGTATATAAAGTACTGTCACCTACCTTTGGAGCACTGACGGTCTGTATGCCCACTGAGCGGGTAAGCACCTTGCGAAGTCCTCCTAGCCGGGTAGTGGCAGAAAGAACTCGCATCTTGTCCAGACTGGAGGGAATGGTGTTTTTGGGTCGAGGTATTAGGCCCAGATCACCCAGCTGGTAGTGGGGCAAAGTGCCCTGGGAACTTTTAGCTATCGGGGACATTGGCAACATCCTGCAAGGCAACAGGTCCACGATTTCAACAATATTTATGACTCCTTTACAATTATTTTTTACCCACAATGTATCCAAGCTAGCTTAATATGCTTAATTTTGTCAGATGTCAGAACTATGAAAAAATTAATATGTAACTAAATGAGTAATATATACAGGAGGAATTCACATTGCTTTGAGGTTTTAAAGGGATCAAGCTAAATGTGATTACTGTATAGCAAATAAACAAAACTGAAAAATATAGTACTCTATCGCAACTATAAAAGTAACATAGATCTCATCAGAAAGCATAGATGACCCATAGCTTATAACAAGGTAAAATTGAAAGAAATGAAGTTCACAAAACACTGTGTAATGCAAACCTAGGGAACTTATGTTAAGTGCTCATATATAGCTAATTCATACACACATGTTGATAAGGCTGTCTTACCCGCGTTTGATACCCTGTTTGCTACCCGGCATCTCACTGGCGCTGCGTTGTCGTACTTTTTGGTGTTTGCCTAGCGCACCAGGCTCAGGGCCCACACCCACTGCTGCAGCACTGTTGAGCAGGACGAGGAGATTCTCCAACATATTGTCTCGTCGCTCTATGTCATTGAGTCCTGCCCCATACACTGGCATTTCTTCCTCTTCATCATATTTCTGTAAGGAAGTATATATGTCATACAATGTCAGTTTTGAATACCAGGGAAAATGGGATCCAACGTCTGCTTGTGAATGTTCAGTGTAGTGATGCGTACCCCAGTTGATGGATTTCTAAATGAAATTCACTAGTCGTGCCATTAGAGTAATTGAAATTCAAAAGAAGAGATGATCAGATAAATCAAATGGGGAGTCTCGGTAACTATAATCCAGTTTACATGTTTCGACCCACTAGGTGTGATTCCTACCCTGAGAAATACAGAGGTTCACCAACAAGTGATGGTTGGTTATCATGTTTATCTAGGTTGAGTTTATTTCTAATTTGTAAAAGACTCAAAGTTTACTACTGAGATAAACTTGTTGATTGTTAAATGATAACCAGCATTCACAAGTAAGGTTGGACCACATTGTTCATATTTATCTGGAAAACGACATATTTCACTTTGAAATTTATGCATTATGTCTGTTTCAAATGGGGAAAACAATTGCCATTAATCAGTCATGATGTCACAATTGAAGATGATGTCGCAAAGCATTTTTACGTGAGGTCCTAATGAAACGATTGACCAACTTTCCAAGAAGTGGTTAACCAAAACTGTCTACCAACTCCTAGCAGATTTATCCAATGAGTCATGAGGGAGAAAACCTAGAAAATGGTTGTGAGAGAAAAAATATGTATGCAGCTTGCTTTGGGAGATATTAATCGAGTATGCTACAGTACATACCCCAAGAGCCAGGCGAAGTGCGTTGGCAGCATCATATAACACTTTGTCCAGTTTTTCTCGGTTTCGTTTTTCAACTCTGTGTTTATCCTTCGCATCTTTCAAAGATTCATCATAGGTCTCATTTTCCTTTGCCAATTTTTGTATGTCTTCTCTGTAAATAAAATGGTATTAGAGAAAAGTATTTCCCAACTGTACAAAACTTAGTTCTGCTACTGGTATATATCCTAAATAATATATTTCCTAAACAATTTAAGTAATTGTTGAAGTAACCAGCAGATTTTAATTTAGTTTACCATCATTTATTAGGATGGTAATATTTTTTAAAGCAAATATACTTCTATCAATAAATTCAAATGGGATGTGTTCCCTTTACATGAGACTTCATGCCAGTTATATCAGGTATACATAAGGACTTAGGCCATCATTAGGGTTTGAATTAGACAGGTAACATTATAAATGTGCCTATATACTCTTACCATCATAAATACAACAAATAGACTGATACATGTAACAGAGACGATCAGATTACACTTTACAGACATAATTTTTCACATTTTGTTACCAGTAGGTTTCTGTTCTGATTGTTAAGTTACTTCATCTTGACATGACAGTTACACAATCATCACATGCTATAAACTTTCTGGAACAGTCATACAAAAAAATGCAACTTGATCTGGTTACCGTGTGACCTCTATATATGTGGTGTCACACGGCTTGCCTGAATTTGTCATTGTGTGGTCTGTATGCGGTAGTCATATGACCAGCACCTGACACTCTGTGACCCGTATTTGGTGTCACATGACCTGGGCCTGTCACAATGTAGCCTGTATATGATGTCATATGACCTGTAATTGGTCACATGACCTGCAGTATCTGTCATTGTGTGACCTGTATATGGTGTCACATGACCTGTACTTATCACTGTGCAGCCTCTGTGTTGTATGGTCACATGACCTGTACCTGTTATTGTGTGGCCTGTATATAGTTCTACATGATCTTTATCTGTCACCAAGTGTGTATATGGTCACATGACCTGTACTTGTCACTAAGTGGTCTCTATGTTATACGGTCACATGACCTTTACCTGTCACTGTATGGTTTGTATGTGGTGCAACATGACCTATACCTGGCACTAAGTGGCCTCTGTTGCATGGTCACATGACCTGTACCTGTTATTGTGTGGCCTGTATATAGTTCTGCATGATCTTTATCTGTCACCAAGTGTGTATATGGCCACATGACCTGTACTTGTCCCTAAGTGGTCTCTATGTTATACGGTCACATGACGTTTACCTGTCACTGTATGGTTTGAATGCGGTGCAACATGACCTATACTTGTCACTAAGTGGCCTCTATGTTGCACGATCAAATGACCTTTACCTGTCACTGTATGGTTTGAATGTGGTGCAACATGACCTATACATGTCACTAAGTGGCATCTGTTGTATGGTCACACGACCTGTTCCTGTGACTGTATGGTTTGTATGTGGTGCAAAATGACCTATACCTGTCCCTAAGTGGCATCTGTTGTATGGTCACATGACCTGTTCCTGTGACTGTATGGTTTGTATGTGGTGCAACATGACCTATACCAGTCACTAAGTGGCCTCTATGGTGCATGGTCACACAACATGTAACTGTCACTGTATGGTTTGTATGTGGTGCAACATGACCTATACCTGTCGCTAAGTGGCCTCTGTTGTATGGTCACATGACCTGTACCTGTCACTGTATGGTTTGTATGTGGTGCAACATGACCTGTACTTGTCACTAAGTGGCCTCTATGGTGCACGGTTACACGACCTGTACCTGTCACTATATGGTTTGTATGTGGTGCAACATGACCTATACCTGTCACTAAGTGGCCTTTGTTGTATGGTCACATGACCTGTACCTGTCACTGTATGGTTTGTATGTAGTGCAACATGACCTATACCTGGCACTAAGTGGCCTCTATGTTGCACGATCAAATGACCTTTACCTGTCACTGTATGGTTTGTATGTGGTGCAACATGACCTATACCTGTCCCTAAGTGGCCTCTGTTGTATGGTCACATGACCTGTACCTGTCACTAAGTGGCCTCTGTTGTATGGCCACACGACCTGTTCCTGTGACTGTGTGGCCGGTATGTGGTGCCACATGACCTATACCTGTCCCTAAGTGGCCTCTGTTGTATGGCCACACAACCTGTTCCTGTCACTGTGTGGCCGGTATGTGGTGCAACATGACCTATACCTGTCCCTAAGTGGCCTCTGTTGTATGGTCACACGACCTGTACCTGTCCCTAAGTGGCCTCTGTTGTATGGTCACACGACCTGTACCTGTGACTGTGTGGCCGATATGTGGTGCCACATGATTTGTTCCTGTCCCTAAGTGGCCTCTGTTGTATGGTCACACGACCTGTACCTGTCCCTAAGTGGCCTCTGTTGTATGGTCACACGACCTGTTCCTGTGACTGTGTGGCCGGTATGTGGTGATACATGATTTGTACCATAGCTATGTAGCCTCACCTCTGTGACTGGAGTTGTTGCTGCAGCAGTTCGTGTTCAGCCTCCACCTCCTGGTACTCCTGCTCCCTCATCTCCAGTTCTCCTACCATCGCCTCCTGGGCACGGCACTTCTCTGTCAGCATTCGTATCACCTACAAACAACACTTTATCTAGAGTACATATACACACTGTCCCTTGTTAAAGCTCCAATCTCACTTATTGCCACCATACATATTATAAACGTAATATCGTAAATTATTGTATATTTTATAACTACTTGACCAAATGTTAGATGAGTCATTGACTCAACTTTGTCATCAAGTATAAATAAAGACTATTATTATTATTATATTATTATGATGTAAAGTTAAACCTCAATTATTGCCATTCATCAAGAATGTTCAGGTACAATTTCACAGCACCTGTAGAGTATAAACTTACATTACAATAGAACGTAATGTATTTTTTCTATAACATACACTATAAAACACAGATAATATGTGGTAACTGGATAGTAAAATATAGGTAAAGTACCTCCAAACATCCCCTGAATGACCTTTTATTCCCCTACAACATCTCCCTACCTTTTGGTTGCTGTGGTTTTTCTTAGCCAGCTCCTTTTCTGTGGTTTCTAACATATCTATGTGTTGTTTCTGTTTCTTCTCCTTGGCCCGCAGGTCATCGTTCTCCTGGATAAGCTCCATGGTTTTGTCAGACTTCTGTACAAGTTGTGCCATGATCGACACGTTTTCCCGAATGGTACGTTTAGTGGTCTCTGCCATCTGTTTGTTCGAGACTTTGCGAAATTCTGCTGCCACTGTGTTGACTCTTGACACCATCTCTTTCTTTAGTCTGAATCATATAGAAGAAACCTCTGACAATTGCACAGTAACACTGTAAGAAACAACCTACAATCCATGTTGGGATCGACTTGCGAAAAACGACAAAATGGTAAATAATTGCTGAGCCAAAAATATCGTACTATAGAAAAAATTGCCTCAGCATTGCGTGTGTAACTCATTAATACTAAATCATACTCCATCATAATGTCACCTATTTACTGACATTATAGACAGTTGTTGGTGGTGATTGAAGGATACAGGACTTTCATTGGATGTTCATCAAAGCCTATACTGTTGCCCCAGACTGTAATCACATGACAATTACACAACTGTTTCACTAAGGTCAGGGCCGAACAAAATACATGTATAGATCTGTTATCAGAATCCCCAGTCAGTGATGGTTTATTTAAACCCTATTCAAGACTTCCAGGAAAATCAATTATATGACCATTTGCCCATGGTCCCTAGTTTCAATTTGCTGTAATGGGCAACAGTGAAAAAAGGGGTCAAATAAGAGTTTAAGGCATTATTGTCAACAGACTTCGGACCAGTCATAGGAACAGTGATTTCTATTAACCTTTCCTGTAAAGACGTTTAAAACAAACAATTTAATGGATTATAACAAGCCATAGTAATATGAACCTGCTGTCCACTCACCTGTCCTTGTCTATTACAGCTTTCTTCTCCAGGTCATAGATCATCTTCTTGTGGTCCTCATCCTTCTGCTTTAGGTCATCCTCCATAGCAGCAAACTTGGCCATCAGGTCCTCCTTCTGCACCTTGAACTCCTCCAATGAGGCCAGTTTACCACCTGAAGTAGTACACCAGACATTGTGAAGTCATAGTTTGTTGGCCCCATCATTAACATGTTAATATATATCTACCATTTACACATTGTCTTGGTTTTAGTCACTGTCCTGTTGGGGTCTGCATTTGTAATGAATTAATCATTGCCTCTGGTTAAGTCAAAAGCTATTAAAGGTGCATATAAGACTACCTGGTGTCAAGATCCTAAATTCAGATGGTATTCTTTCGTTTATAAGCCATTTCCCTAAAAATATGTCACCCTGGTAAAATACTAGCTGCTTCCTACCAACTCGGCTAGGGAAATTTTCTCTTTAGGTCATTCAGTAGAGTGTAAGACTAGTAAGCCAGAGGTCCCGGGTTCAACTCCTGGCGGAGGCATTGAAAAAATAATTGCCTCTGTTACAAATATTAGACAAGAGTTAGTTGCAAATCTGTTAATCAATGGGTGAAGTTCTGGTGTAAAAGAGTGGGAGACTTACCAAGGATCATGTTGTCAGAAGTGAGCTGGTCCTTGGTTTCCTGGAATTCCTGTCGGAGTTGCTGGATGGTTGCATTGGCCTGTTCTTTTTCTTGCTCTCTGGTCTGCTGGAGACCAATCAACTGTTCCTGCAGGTCGGCATTCTCATCAGCTGAAATAATAATAGTTTGTTATTGTATATGAAGTAGATGCAGAAATAATGTCTAACCAACATGTCAACAACATTTGACAATGATATTTGTTTTAAATAGGATTTGAATTAAACCAGAAAAAGACTAGCGAGTAAGAAAATCAGTACAATAATATTTCTTTTACATCATAACAGGTATTACTATGCATACATTTATGAACCATGTATTAACCCTGCAATAATCCCAAGAGAGTTGAAGAGACCAACACATATATATATAACCACTGATTCAAAACAGGAGATGGATGGGGCAGTTGGTGTTATTTCTACTAAACTTCAATAGATATTGTCATTGGGTGGGCTTAATAGCTTAATGCTGGATCAACATGGTATGTACAATTTTTATTGTCATTGTTTGTATAAAAAAAAGTTTTTTTTTTTAGAAATTAGCAGAATGATTCCAATGTTCTGTTTGACAGTACAAAAAGACATTAATTAGTAAGTTTTCCTTACTTTTAAGATCAACCTGTCTTTTCCAGAATGACACGATATCATTCTTGTCCCTGGCCATCTGATCAAACTGATCCTTGAATGCCCCCTGGCTGACTTCCAATTCATCACATTTTTTCTGGTACCTTAAAAAAGTGAAAGAAAAAACATTGCAGTATATATTATTTTGCTATCTCAGATAGTTCGTTAGTCATAAGTGAAAATCCACCAATGAATATTCATATCACAAAACTATCAATACCAGAATCTTGATCCATTTCCAAGTCTACGCTAGGACAATATGTAGCATGGATGTCACTCCGATTCATCTCTTAATTCTTGCCTAGCAGAAAGATCTCCTTCATTGCATATTTCCAATGAGGGTGAAAGTGCATGAAATGTGACTGAAATTACTATCTTTCCCATTTTATGAAACAAAATAAATCCAAAAAGCCTTCATTTGATTCCGACACACCTGTTATGATCATTACATACAACCTGCAGTAACTAGCTAGGAGATCATTTGACCACAGGGCACAGGATGTAGATTTTGAGTTTAAGTGAGTTTGGACTTGACTGCGTTCTAGGGAGATTGGTAAATTTTGTGATTCTCCCTTTTTATAAGGGAGTCTCCATCCAAATGAGGGAGGGTTGACAGCTATGTAATAAAATTTGACAGAATAGACAACATGCTATTCACTACATACAAATGTATATATATATGATACGTGGATGGTCATTGTGGCAACTGAATGTTAATTATATCTGTAAAATATGCTCGTCTTGAATGACAGTACAGAATCGAAGTTACTTCATATAACAGCTGAAAATAGTGATCCACCACTCATGGTCAACTGAAACGCTCATAGCCTACACTATTATTGCAAAACATATGGTGTGCACATCACTATGACATAAATATATGCATTGCATGAGGTCCTTGTTATCATGGCATCACAGAAATATACCTAGCAAGTCTGTTTTCCAGATCCCTGATCTGGATGAGGTAGTATTCCTTCGACAATTCATTGAGTTGTTCACTGGATGTTTTTGACGGTGATCCCCTTCCAGATTTCTTCGCACTTTTCTTTCCCTTCTTCCCACTCTTTTTCTTTTTGGGCGGCATTTTCGCTTATTTTCCTATTGTCCAGTTAATTCAAAAGTAAAATATCCAACGTATATCTGGTTGCGTTCACAATGACCTTTATAATAGGTCAACAGGCCCCCAAAAAGATTAAACCAACTACATTATTATAGAAAGATGATAGTGTCCGCCATCTTGTTGTCAACAAAGACAATGACGTCACTACTTGGATACATGAATATTTCATGAAATAGCAATGGTTAAATCGGTTGAGTCAAAACTGGAAAATATATCTATTAAAATAACATAAAGATATCAATGTACATTTAACAAAATAAAATGTTAACAAAAAAAAATCTGTTAAAAATTTCAGCTTTGTCACATGACCTTAAAAATGGCGGCCAGAAAGAAATGGAGGAAAATATTGTACGAAGACCAAGGCGTTCCAGATAACTATGTGGACTCTTCATTCCTTGATGAGATGAAGAAAAATTGTAACTTCATTAAACTTTTGATTATGTTTTTAAATTCCAATTCTTTGAAATGATTTATAAAACTTTTCAAATTCGTGAAGTTGCAATCCCTAATCAGAGAACAGTGGTAATGCCTAGCTATAGCTAATGGTCATGCAAATTACCACTGATAACTGCTATCTGCACAGTGACCATGCTAAATTCCAGTAGTATGACATGTTTAAATTGTAAGCAAGATGCATTTAACATGCTTGAGGGAATTTCTCTTCATGTTAATTTGTAGAGCAGCAGACTCAAAAGTTTGGCAGTCACTTGTATACATCCAGAACATATATATACATAAGCTAATAATGTTAATTTTCTGCAAAGAAATAGTCTATAAAAATAAGTTCAGTGACACAAATTGAAAGCAGCCTTCTGTGCATGACTTGAATGACAATGAGTTTAACCCCAGATAATGGCCAATTATATTATTTGTATCAAGTATGAAACTATCTTAGACTTAAGAGGTATTAAAAGCATACAAAACAAATTAAATCTCGATGTCAAAATTGCATCGCTTATACATGTGTTTATTTCATGAATTTAGGCATTAAAATTTATATCTGCGTCCTCAATAAGTGTGCATAAAAAAAGGATGTCTTGTATACACAGTGCAGTGTTAATCTACAAGGATATAATTAGTATTGTTAAAACTATGGGTACCATTTCAATTCATTTTATCCAGAAATTCAATGAGTCCAATACAGATTCTGTGAGTATATATAGTACACAGGACCTGTTGTGTCGCAACAATAGCTTAATATTTTTTACTGTTATACAAATGAAACCGTTTAAATCTGGGATAGTTTCAATTCACTTATTTTGATCTCATTAATATAATCATGATCACTATCTTTAGCAAGAAATAACTAGGAGAACAAAGAGTGGTCATGCATTATATATATATGACCGTCCTTGTAGTTTTGGTTTTACTCTTCTCATAAACTCCTCAAGCTCTTTAATTAGTCATAATATGGGCCAGCATTCCCTTTTAATAAAGTCCAAGGTATTATATGCTTTAATTAACTTACTTACTGTAAAATCATGAATTTTCGTGGGACATTACAGTTCGTTTATTTCGTGGATAACAAAATCCACAAAATTAAATCCCCACAAATACATGAATTTTGTATGAAATAGATAAGGGAAAATCAGAAATCAGCGAAATCTAATGTCCTTGAATCAGGCTAGTATACACAAAATTTACCCCCACAAAAATAAATGATTCTACAGTATGTTGGATACTAATAAGTGATTGTTTTTGTCATTGCAGTATACACTAGAACCTATTCCTATTGGTCAGTTGTAAGAAACTCTGGTGAAGTCACACAGCAAATCAGCAGGTAATTATGTTACATTTGACACATACCGGGTAATTATAATTTAACGCCATATGATTTTAGTCAAGTTCAAGTTCTTTATTACTTTAAGTCGGTTGACTTATCAGTTATAACATATATATACAAAACAATACAGAGACAACATACAATATGATACACACACACATACACACATGCCTACACACACACACACCGTGGAGAGTGAACACTAACCAGCAATCAGCTCAGATCTCCTTTTGTTTGCTTGTATTAAAAATTTGCCCAGATTTCTAATGTCAGATACATTCTCACAAGTAAGTAGTTGAATTAATTTATACATGCTTGTATGTCTTACATAATATTTCTTAATTAGTTTCAACCTTATATCAATATAGCAAGGACATTTTAAAATAAAATGGAACTCATCCTCGACATCATTCAGGTCACATACTGTACACAATCTGTTTTGTCTTTCAGTTCTATTATATCTGCCACACTCAATATTTAACTTATGTGCAGACATTCGAATTTTACATATTTGTTTTAAATAATTTATATTTACAGGTTTTGATAAATAGTACTGGTGACCAAAATCACACACATATTGATACAATGCTCCTTTAGGAGAAGATTGAATTTTTTCAAAACATTCTTGTCTGAATATGTCACAAAGACGTTCTTTTATAATATGAAAAGTGCTATTATTTAAACTGGAGGATTCCCACACATTTCCAAGACCAATTCTGTATAATTCTTGTTTTACACTCATTAACCAAATGTCATTATTACAAAGCATATCATCATAGCATGACCTTAGAATACAATTTCCTACATTTCTCAGTTTTATCCAATATTTGAATATTCGTAATTTTCTAACTATTTTCATGGGATATCTTCCAAGTTCATAATACACCATAACATTACTAGTTTTTTTTATGTAATCCTAATATTTGTTTGCAGAATCTCACATGCAATTTTTCGATGTCTGGTGCGGCATGGAAGCCCCATACTTCTGCTCCGTAACTTAAAACACTATTTACATAAGTATCAAAAACAGACAATTGAGTTTCTATATTAAAATATTTTTTCTTACAGACATTTAATAATGCAAACAAAGCTTTTCTCCCCTGGTCAGCAACTTGCTTTTGAGTATGTCTAAATTTTCCGTTAAAATTCAATAGTACACCAAGGTAATTGAATTGATCGACAACATCCAATTTATTTCCTTCGTAAAACCATATTTCATTTCCCCTTAATATCCCTCCATTTCTAAACACGACAATTTTTGTTTTCCCAGTATTTACGGTCAAATCCCATTTTTTGGTATAATTTGCAAGAGAGTCTAACATTGTTTGCAAACCCTCTGGTGTTTCAGATATAATCACCATATCATCTGCATACATAAGTAAAAACATATTGATATCCTGTATTTCAATAGATGGACAATTATCTGATAAAAACTGCATTTCACAATCATTTACATATATAGCAAACAAAAGGGGTGATAATATTTCCCCCTGAAATAATCCGTTTTCAATATCAAAAAATTCGGAGAGAGTACCATTATATTTAACACAACATTTCACACTTTTATATAATGATCTGATCACTTTCAGAAGTTTACCTTCTACACCTTCTTTGATCATTTTATACCATAAATTATGTCTATTAATAAAATCAAACGCTTTTGTATAATCTATAAAACAACAATAGAGACGGTTTTTTTTTTAAAGTACGATTAATTAAAGATTGTAAAGCGAAAATGGCGTCTACAGTAGAAGTGTTTTTTCTAAATCCAAACTGGGCGTCTGTTACTTTATTATATTTCATTTCAAACGATACAAGTCTTTCATTTATGATAGCAGTAAAAAGTTTACCAGCACAACTTAACAAGGTGATACCTCTATAGTTGTCCGTGTTATTAATGTCACCTTTTTTAAAAACAGGAACTATATTACCAAGTGACCACGATGATGGGAAACAACCAGACTTGAATATATTATTGAATAATAACAATAAACATGGCATTAAAATATCTTTGCAATTGATAAAATATTCATTAAAAATTCCATCTTGACCACAAGCTTTGTTAGATTTAAGTTTTTTAATAGCAGCCAGAATCTCCATCTCAGTTATTTCTATATCTAGTTCATGAGGAAGTAGATCCTCAGACTTCACGTCATAATCATTAAGATAGTCGGATATGTCCCTGTCTATCGCGTGCTCACCAGATCCCAATGAATAAAAGTGATGGTAAAAATCTTCTACATTTAAATCCACATTTAAATTTTGTTTACGTTTCCTAAACGTTTTGTAAAAAGTTCGCGGGTTGTATTTTCTTAAATAATTTAACATGTCTCCTTGCTGACATTTATACTCTCTTTTTAACTTATATTCAAGTTTCTTATACATTTTTTTTTTTTTACTAGTAATTCTCTGTTCACATTAGATTTACAAACATTAAAAGTATACAGTGCATATTTATAATCTCTATATCGTTGTTTACAGGAATCCGTAAACCATGGCTTATCTCCCTTGATAACCTTAGTCTGCTTACCTGTGCCTTTATGTATGATTGCCTTTATGTATGATTGTTTGGGTACAATAAGGAACAATTAACTCATTTAAAATACTTGTAAAATTGTTAGCACATGCATCAATTCCTTCTTGGTCCCATTCAGTAGTATCACATGACTGTATTAGCCTATCAATGTTTTCTAGCAATAACTCACAAATTCTACTATTATTTTCTTCATTCCATCTTATACTTGTTTGTCTCTTGTCATTTAAATCATTTCAATTCATTTTGAAGAAAATCTCTCAGTTTGTCCTCTGTGTCTTCTCTATATGTCTCTGCTAGGCCATGGAAAATTAAGTTCCGTTTCATAGATCTACACTGTAGGTCTTCTAGTCTTTCCCTCAATTCCTCCTGGGTCTCCAGTCAAACAGTACATGTATATGATATTATTGTTAATTACCAGGTAAATGTTAATGTTAGATAATATAACATTATAAAGTCTCATTGTCCATTTTGTATATATTTGCTTTTGATACAAAATATCACAATATTTATGTTTTATAATGGCCGAACAACATTCATCACAGGCATGACCCTTTCTTTATTGCTAATTTTACACATCATGACTTTTTTCATTTCCTTAGGCTAGCTAAGATTCTCACTTCCTGACAGCCTCGAGTCATCACAGTGAATCAAATTATCCATACATGTATACAATACATGTAATATACATAGGATATATGACCGGTATTGATCACCATTTTTATGAATTGATATGTTTATGAATACAGTTGTATTGTATTAAGTGTTACAAGATTCACATTCAACTCTATAATGGCATATGTTATACAAATTTATGCAAGGAACAACCGTTTCACAATATGAGTAGTCAAAGGAAGGCTTGTAGTTAACATCAGCTAATATACACTTTTGGCAAAGGTCTTAAGATAAAAGATAGGTTAATGAAAAATGTTTTACTTTAATTAAATACAGGTAACTGATAAGTATGTTAAATGTCTGGTTGTTGTAGTACTGGAAATTAACTGCTGTATTTCATCTATTAAGCTCGCTATCCATTCTAAATGCCCAGAATCATTTTACTGGTCTGAACCTCCCATGACCATCCTTCAGCATTTTATTATTTCACACTTCATAATTTTACTTTAATAGTGTTATTATGGTCATTTTGTGAAAATTTCACCGGTATTACACTTACTAGGTAAAATACGATATTTCTAAACTTGACCTATTATTATGTTTGTTACATTGAATTTGTAAGTTGATTATTTTACTTTCAGTCTGTGCCTCTTTGTGGTGGCCTACATCTACATGTACAACCAAAAACTGTCACCTCAGCTGCTAGTGGTTGCCATGGCAGCAGTTACTATGGTAGGCTATTTGATCAAGCTTTACACAGACCATGTGATAGAGCGAGAAGGTCCACATAGAACAGGTAAGAGCATGGAAATCAGGTTTGCAAAAAAACAAAAATTAAAACCTGAAAATGAGGCTTGAATGTTTTTTTTCTAACATTTTTAAAAGTATATGTATATGCGGAAAAAAAACTTGCACCACATTAGTGTCCTTATAATGAAGTGGTAAATAAAAAATCTGAAATGGTTTTCCAAATTATCGCAAACCAGATAATTGAAGTTGAGTAAGGTCATGAAACAGGGTAATATTATGTAATGTAACCTTCATACAGCAGCTACAGTAAATGTATAGAAGTGATAAACCTCAGGTTAATTATCTAATGAAAACAAGATCTACATTTGATAAACTTGTCATTGAGTGCTGCCCGTTTCCAATATTTCAGTACTAGACGATTTGAAGACAGCTGTGATATTCACAGGATTCAGTTTTGGCCTGTCGCCTGTCCTGGTTTCGTTGACAGAAACCATTTCCACGGATACTATCTATGCCATGACGACAGTGATGTTACTTGCTAACCTCATCTTCCATGACTACGGAGCCAGCGCTGCAATGTAAGCGAGTCTCAAAAGTGTATGCTCAAATGGCAACAATATATACTGGTTATAACAACTGGTAAATATATTGTGTACTGAAGCTATACAACACAGTATTCTAAATGGTATCTGGATGACATACTTAAAGATTGTGTTATTAAATTAAACCATATTGACTTTGTTAATAGTTTTGTGTTCAGCTAGGTCATACAACTTTTCCCTATTATTTGAATTGTTGTGTAGTATTGGGAGAGTGTATGGTATAAGGGAGATAACTCAAAATGTAATAGTTATAAATGTATAATGATTGATTGCTTTGATTTGAAACTTTCCTTGGCGAGCAGCAAGAAGTTGCAGAGACAGTAAAAATGGAGGTCAGAAATAGATGTCTATTGTTTGTCTTTAAAACGAATTACACCAAGAACTAACCCAACCCCCTAACAGGATACTACATCATTGTAGTGTAAACAACTAGGAATTTTCATATTTTGACTTTTAAATTCGAACTGCATATATATGCAGTCTGGAAATTTTCACATTGGCAATGCTTGGAGTATATACATGCGTGTGTATTTGTGACTTTAACTATGAGTGTCTTCTCTACAGGGTATCTGAGGCTCTGTCCCTCAATGCTGGGATATTTGCTTCTGTGTGTCTGGCCTCCCGACTCCATACAACATGGCACGCCTTTGCCACAGTCACACTGTCACTTCTTGTGTTTGGTCTGTGGCCAATGCTGAGGAAGCAAATGAAGGCAAGTTGATACATGAAAGGCTTCAACTATTTCATGATTGTGTACCTTGCACATATAAAGTATATTTGTGTGAATTTTGAAATTGGAGTTTACCATTTTAACACTGTGAACTTTTATATTGCTTTACCGCTGAAAGCGCTTGAGTCCTAGCTTTTATAGATTTAAAAACATTACATTTCAGACAAATAAATAAAATAAGTTTATATTGATATGTAGTTTATTTGAAGTTGAAAAAGTAATTTGATAATTGTTTCTATGTAGAAAGCTATCCCAGGAAGCCAAATTGGAATGACCTTGACCTTGTGTAGTGTGTCCATTGTTGCCTTGGTAACAGTGTCAGCAGTAGCTGGTGTCCTGGGGATGTTGCTCTTACTGTTCATCACATTTATCTGTCCAGCCTGGCTCATTAGTCTTCAACCTTACAAAGAGTAGGTTCACAAATGTGTACATTTTTTGTTTCTGACTCTGCCAATAAGGCATATTGATAATATAAGTTGATTGGTTGGTTGTAAAAGGTTTAATGTCCCATCAACAGCTAAGATCATTTAAGGTCGTGCCTTGATGTGTTTTGTGTATGTGTGCCAGAGACGAGGGATAATATAAGTAAACTTAGTAGTATGACATATTACCAAATCTTGGTATCGTGTAAAACAGCTGAGATATCAAACATATCTAAGTCCCTTAATTCAATGATCCTGTCCTAAAGAAATGCTTTAATGCTGCATTTCTGTATAGAGATAAGAAACATGTGTATCTCTTATGCTTGAATAGACATTATTCTTTAGTCTGACTGGTTTAATATATGTTTCAATCTTTCCATGTTTAATGAAGGAATGTTCATAATGTTCACAATTGATTCTACAGGTATCAGCATGTTCTAAATTTCACTGAAATGTTCAATCTTTGTACTGGCTATGATCAAAGTGGTTGCTGTTTTGGTTTTCTGGAATTTCCGCTAGCTCTACTGTACCTGTAATGCTTCATTTTTTTCGCGCATATGTTTAAAACGTTTCCATTTCTTTTCAGCAATATATATGGTCCCTGGGATGAAGCTGTCATTCAAACAAAATGAAAAATGCAGTCCAGCATCTCCAGCTTCTGGCAGGCAAATGGAGAAATTCAAAGATGTCTCTACATCTGCGGAACGGTGAAAGTCAAAGATGTCTCCACATTGTTGAACAGTGAAAATCAAAGGTGTCTCTACATCTGTTGAACAGTGAAAGTCACAGGTGTCTATACATCTGTTGAACAGTGAAAAACAAAGATGTCTCTACATCTGTTGAACAGTGAAAGGCACAGGTGTCTCTACATCTATTGAACAGTGAAAGACAATGATGTCTCTACATCTGTTGAATAGTGAAAGTCAAAGGTGTCTCTACATCTGTTGAACAGTGAAAGTCATAGGTGTCTATACATCTGTTGAACAGTGAAAATCAATGATGTCTCTACATCTGTTGAACAGTGAAAGGCACAGGTGTCTCTACATCTGTTGAACAGTGAAAATCAAAGATGTCTCTACATCTGTTGAACAGTGAAAGACAATGATGTCTCTACATCTGTTGAATAGTGAAAGTCAAAGGTGTCTCTACGTCTGTTGAACAGTGAAAGTCAAAGGTGTCTCTACGTCTGTTGAACAGTGAAAGTCATAGGTGTCTCTACATCTGTTGAACAGTGAAAAACAAAGGTGTCTCTACGTCTGTTGAACAGTGAAAGGCACAGGTGTCTCTACATCTGTTGAACAGTGAAAGTCAAAGGTGTCTCTACGTCTGTTGAACAGTGAAAGTCAGAGGTGTCTCTACATCTGTTGAACAGTGAAAGTCAAAGGTGTCTCTACATCTGTTGAACAGTGAAAGTCAAAGGTGTCTCTATGTCTGTTGAACAGTGAAAGTCAAAGATGTCTCTACATCTGTTGAACAGTGAAAGTCAAAGGTGTCTCTATGTCTGTTGAACAGTGAAAGTCAAAGGGGTCTCTACATCTGTTGAACAGTGAAAATCAATGATGTCTCTAAATCTGTTGAACAGTGAAAGGCACAGGTGTCTCTACATCTGTTGAACAGTAAAAGGTGTCTTGGCATCTGTTGAATGGTAAAAATCAGGAATGCTAATGGATTCACTTTTATGAAACAGTGAAAGCTATAGATGTCTATCAATACTTGGGTCAGCAGGGAACAGTTTAATTAGAACTTCAGCAAAAGCTATCAGTAACAGTGAAAGTTAGGGAAGTTCATAAATTCTGTTGAATCGTAATAGTCAGTGATGCTCATTTCTACTGAGGAATTATAGTAATTTGGGACATTCATCGTGCACTTTTGAGGAACAATGATATACTGTTTATGTATAAGGATATTGCCCACCTCAAACCTTGTCATACAAGGATAAGGAAAGATATGCAAACTGATGGAAGAATATTTCATATAGTTACGAAAAGATGGAAATATGAAGAAGAGAGGGATTCACAGGTGAAATTTCATGTTTTGGTTCTGAGATACTTGTCAAGAGGTCATCCTCAGAGATCCTGGACCTTGAGAAACTTGTTGTTTATTAAATTGTTATGAAATATGGTACATGTAATGTTTTATGTCAATAACACAGCCTATATTGGGAGGATTGAGGTGACGACAATAGAAAGGAATTATTACAGCAATTATAATGTTGAAATTGTGCCATAGCAATTTATTGTGGAAATTATCACTACAATATAGTCTGGAAAACGTAATAACAAAAAAGGGTTGGAATTGTCACAGCAATACACACCAATCATGATGGGGATAGGGCTACATGTCATTGTTATGTACATGTACACCAATATTAAAGTTTGGGGTACCCGGTTGTACAAGAATACTTGGTGGGAATAAGAACAGCAATATGATGTGGAAATTGTAACAACAATACAATGGGAATTAATAAAGTAATGTAACGTTAGAATTGTTACAAGATATACAGTGAGTGAATAGTTACAGCTCTACCAATTACAATATTGGAATTGTTACAGCAAAACAGTATAAGCATTGTTACAGCAATACAGTGTGGGAATTACTACAGCAATAAAATTGGGGATTATTACAGTATGGAAATCATTCCAGCATTACAGTATGGGATTTGTTACAGGATAACATTATGGGAATCATTACAGTAATACAGTATGAAAACATTACAGCAGTTTATTATTGGGATTGTTACATCATTACAGTATTGGATTGTAACAGCATTACAGTATGAGAACAGTTACACATATACAGTGTTGGAAATTGTTACAGCAATACAGAGTTTGGATTAATACAGAAATACAGTGTTGGGAATAATTACAGCAATACAGTGGAAATTATTAAGCAGTACAGTATTTTAATTATTACAGCAATACAGTGTTGGGAATTATTACAGTGTAAGGATGGTTACAAAAATACAGTGTATAGATTGTATCATCAATACAGTGTTGGAATTATTACAGCAATACAGTGTTGGAATTATTACAGCAATACAGTGTTGGGAATTACTACAGCAATACAGGCTTTGGATGGTTACAGCAATACAATGTGGGAATTATTACAGAAAATAGTGTTGGGTCTCTTACAGCAATACAGTGTTGGAATTGTTACATTAGTACAGTGTCCAAATATTGTTACAGCAATACAGTGTTGTAATTATTACAGCAATAAAATTGAGGATTGTAACAGTACTACAATGTTAGAATTATTACAGCAATACAGTGTTGGGAAAGTTACAGCAGCATAGTGTTGCAATTGTTACAAAATTGGGGATTGTTAAGGCACTACAATGTTATAATTGTTACAGCAATTCAGTGTTTGAACTGTAACAGCAGTACAGTGTTAGGAATTGTTACAGCAGTAGTGTTTGAATTGTTACAGCTGTACAATGCTTGAATTGTTACAGTAATACAGTGTTTGGAATTATAACAGCAAAACAGTGTTGGTATTGTTTCCTCAATGCAGTATTGTTATTTTTACAGCAATACAGTGTTTGAATTGTTACAGCAGTACAGTGTTGGAATTATTACAGTAATACAGTGTTGGGATTGTTACAGCAATACAGTGTTGAAATTATTACAGCAATACATTGTTTCAATTGTCACAGCAGTACAGTGTTAGAATTATTACAGTTATACAGTGTTGGGATTGTTACAGCAATACAGTGTTGGAATTATTACAGCAATATAGTGTTTGAATTGTTATAGCAGTATAGTGTTGGAATTGTTACAGCAATACAGTATTGGAACTGTTACAGCAGTACAATGTTGGAATTGTTACAGCAGTACAGTATTGGAATCGTTACAGCAGTACAGTGTTGGAATTGTTACAGCAATACAGTGTTGGGATTGTTACAGCAATACAGTGTTGGAATTTTTACATAAATACAGTGTTACAGAAGTACATCGTGGGAATTATTACAGTAATACAGTGATTGGGTTGATTACATCAATACAGTGTGGAATTTTTGTATCGTATGCATGGTATATATATAGTTCAAGCAAAAATCTATATATAGTAACACAAAACGAAACTACAATACTATGCGATCTTTTTTCTTTACATCATGCAGAACGGACTTTAAAATTTGCGACGCTCTGATTGGTTATTAATAGATCAGAAGCTAAAAAATCACCGTTTTAAACATCTCTGTGGGAATAGAAAATATGTTTCACATCGTAACCTATTTGCGTGAACTTTGCAAATGTATTCGTTATGGTTTGAAATGTTTCTTCATTAAAACGGGTTTAAAAATTTAAGTTTTCGACATTTTTGACGAATTGTGTTAAGCAATAAAAATATTTGTGGTCTGAAAGTCGCGGGCTTCAAAATTTGCCACATTCTGATTGGTTGAAAAGACCGGAACAGATCAACTTCGCCGGTAGTCTCGACTACTTCGCCGGGAAATAGGAACACGGGAGGGTAAAGGCCAACTCAAATGATCGACAAGAGTAGCTACGGAGCGAATTTTACCAGTTTTGACCTTTCACAGACAGGTATTATGTTTGACTCAAAGGTCTACTGATTTCAATGTGTTTGTCACTCTATCAGCT